GATACCCTCTCAGTCAAAGTTGAACATCCTTCTCTAGTCAAGGAAAAACTCCTTCTGCAGTCTTCAAAATCTGGCGACAGCGAATAAAAACTAATTATGTTGAAAACGCAAGACCTTTCAAAATTAATTTCCTCTGTATGCGACGTCACCGACTCACTCCAGTAAGTTAATTGCAACTTGCACAATTAAATATTGAGCAGGACAAAAATGGCATCAAAAAATAGATTTGCATACTGAGTGGAAATGCATAAAAACTGAAGTGCAATTCATTTTATGAAGATTATATTTAATATTATAAGTGTTTTTTATCTTGGATTTACCATAATTGTTTTATTATATATTTTTAATATTACTAAATGTTTATATTTTTATTAAATGTGATTTGATATGGGGATATTTTATTTTGTTAAATAGGGTAGTTTATATGTGGCCAACACATCGCGGGTTCTATAAACATTTACTACCATTCCCGTACTTAACCAACCTGTCCTCGGACCTGTCCTTGGACCTGTCCTTAAACCTGTGCTTGGACCTGTCCTTGGACCTGTCCTTAAACCTGTCCTTGGACCTGTCCTTAAGCCTGTGCTTGGACCTGTCCTTGGACCTGTCCTTGGACCTGTCCTTAAACCTGTGCTTGGACCTGTCCTTGGACCTGTCCTTGGACCTGTCCTTGGACCTGTCCTTAAGCCTGTGCTTGGACCTGTCCTTGGACCTGTCCTTGGACCTGTCCTTAAGCCTGTCCTTGGACCTGTCCTTGGACCTGTCCTTAAACCTGTGCTTGGACCTGTCCTTGTGGCTCGAGTGCTGTACCTGGAGTTCAGTCGGCCCAGTGAGCAGAGTTCTGTAGTTATCATTCTCTTGAAAACCTCCTGCCCGGAGCTCTTTCCTCCTCAAGATGTTGTTCTCTGGGTTCACGGTCTTCCTCCTCCTCGAGGTCCTCACCCTTGAGGGGTTCTACCAACACATATGTGTGTGTATGAGACTGTCAGAGAACCTAGACTGGATCTAGAGAACCACTGTCTTCCAATACGAGAAGGCTGCGGTTTTAAGAGCAACTCGGCATCCTGTCCAAAAGAATTAGGCACACACACAACCGCTTGATTTCCCTGGATACTTGCACATGCAACATTCACTGTTTTTTTCCTGTTGACACATTAATAGTCGGTCAGTTTGGGGCAGTGCCCTCCACCCTCCCTTTCCTCCGCCTTCTGGTCCCCCCTGAGGGCAGATGAGGAGGTCTTCACTGAACTGTTATTGTGAGCTAAAATGATATTCAGTTTATGCCAGGAACAAAAATGGAACTTTTGAGTTATACACCTGTAAACCTGTTTTAGTCTGGTCGTGGTTGCAAAGACAAGCATAAAGTTGTTGCAAATTAAGTTTCTAACTTTGATAATCGTCTACATTTGAAACAATTTTATTTTATATATTTTTTAAATTGCAAAAAAATACAAAATAATTGCAAATGCTGATTTTTTTTCAGAAGGCAAAAAACAATACTTTTTGTTTTTCGTACTAAAGGGGGGAATAATCCCTGAACACTTTTCGTGAACAATTCAGGTTTGCTGGGACGATAGTTTTGAACACTTTGTGATAGAAGTTTTGAACACTTTGAGAGGAAGTTATGAACTACAGGGCTCTTGGGTCAGTACTGGGCGAGGAGAGTCAAAGGTAATTCGTCAAAATAAATAATTTATTGTCAGTCAAAAAATCACACACAGGGCGTGACGCCTGGTGACGTCACTTCCTGTGGGCGTGACGCCAGATGACGTCACATGTCATGAATGACTTCTTCTGACCTTTTAATATTGAGTGAATTGTCGAGGTCAAAGTCGCCTTTTTGGTTTGTCATGTAATTCCTTAACTTGTTTTTTTTATTAATTTTAGACATGAGTAAGTTTTGTGAATGGTTGAACTTGTTATGAAATGGTTTAAAGTCACCTCATATCTCAGTGTTCTTATTCTCTAATATCACTTTGGCATTGTGTACCGCTGTTCAGCTGTTGTTCTCACCTTGTTCACCACAATGTTCACCTCACCCCTTAGAGAATGAACGTTGCTGTTCATCTGTGTACATCCATGTTCTCGCTATCACCATTGAGGGTCAGATCTGTCAGTAATTGTTCAATGCCCGTTCAATTGTTCAATGTTGTGCGGGTACCCGCACTAACTACGAGGTACCCGCACAAGCTACTAGGTACCCGCACTAACTACACCTATAATTACTCCCTCTAGTCTCAATATATCCAATTATATATGCACAAATATATCTGAATGTGTGGTGGTTTTTTAAGTATCTAACCAAAATAGGTATAATATTCTGTAATGGGAATTTAAATGGCGTTGAGAACAACTGCTTCTTGCCGATAATCTAATTATTATTATTAATTAATTTATTATCTTGATATAATTTAAGAACTAGAAACTAATTTTAAAATCACGTAAATTGTTTAATTACTTCGTGACAAACGGGGATATTTAGCATAAGTTTGATATATATAGCGTTGTTAGCGGAGGTTGCTAACTTAGCAACGCTACATGTTAGCGGAAGTTGCTAGCTTAGCAACGCTACATGTTAGCGGAAGTTGCTAACTTAGCAACGCCACACTGTAAGACACAGGTACGGTGTTACAGTGAGAATGCCGGGAAGATCTGGCCGTCACCGTCGCCAAGTCTCCAGTTATCGTCGAGGGCCAGATGGCGCTGCTCTTCTCTTGAGCTAGACCCTTCACTCTCCACCTGTTCCCCATCATCACAGTCACCATCGAAGCAATCATCATCGTCACCATCACAGTCCTCATCGAAGCTATCATCATCATCGCCCTCTGAATACCCTAACGACAGCTGGTCCTCGGTATGGAATGGCAGGTGGTGTACGAGGAAAGGTGGAGACAGGTGGGAGTGGGATGGGGCAGGGACGGTTGTCTCCCCTCCCATCAGAGGACAGGAAAGGTGGATCGTGTCCTGGTGGGAGAGAGTCTGGCCGTCCAGCACTACCAGAGGCTCACTCGAAGTCAGAATGATTTCGGCAATCTCATCACCCGCAAAACAGAAAGTCAGGGGATCACAGTTCACCGGCTGGTCAGTCTCTATGGCTGGCTGGTAGGCTACAGGGTCAAAGTTCTCCATCAGAATCGTAGATTTCAGCAAAAGGTCACTAGCAAGGTCACCAGTCGTTAGGTCAGTACGTGGATCACCACTCTGTACGTTATTGTAAAGTTCACCAGCGGGAAATCCATTGCTGGAAGGTCGAAGGTCATGGCAGATGTCGTCAGTTACGAGGTCAAGGGGTGAGCTTAGGTCACACAGGTCATCCGTCACCTCGTCATCCACAGACAAGAAGCTAGCCTGAAACTGGATTAAAATCTGTTAAAATTGCGAAGAGGAAAGGCAGCTATTGCTAAACATAGCAAAAAAAATTTGTTATCTTCCAAAAGAACCTTTACAAAACACTCAGTAATATTGATTTTCGTGAGGAATATATGTATAAAATCACACTTTAATTGACTGGAGACTGACTGGCGCTTCGAGTATAGTAATATAGATCAGGGTTCTATAACTTGCATATAGCGTACCTGGCTTCTCTATAGTCTACCTGGCTTCCCTATAGCGTACCTGGCTTCCCTATAGCGTACCTGGCTTCTCTATAGTCTACCTGGCTTCCCTATAGCGTACCTGGCTTCCCTATAGCGTACCTGGCTTCTTCTCTACAGTCTACCTGGCTTGCCTCAAGTCTACAATAGACATGGGGAGAGGACAGGAGTTGGGATATGATCACATAGTGAAGGATTGATGCCCAAACATTTGTATCATCGGGGGATTGAACACCGACCCTGCAAGTGGGCCATCAGGGATCGAACACCGACCCTGCAAGTGGGCCATCAGGGATCGAACACCGACCCTGCAAGTGGGCCATCAGGGGTCGAACACCGACCCTGCAAGTGGGCCATCAGGGATCGAACACCGACCCTGCAGGAAGGGAGGCCGTTGCCCTCACCGACCGGTCCAAGGAGCTGGACATATAATGACCCAAGACTCAAGCGGGTGATCAATAAGATACGACCACTTAAGTCATTAAAATGTTTACTTCTAAAGAACGTCAGAAAAAATGGTTCTCGAGAATAGTGTCAGGAAGACAAGAACAGAACAGACAAACGTAGAACAATAAGGTTGATAATGACAAACATGCAATAACATCAATGAATAACAAGAACAACCACATACAACGATAATGTATAAGTAAATCAAGTTAATAAATCACGTTATGAAAGAGATCTATAAATATAAAATTGATATAAATATAAATAGGTAATTTATATTCATTCATCAATCTGGTAAATTCAGGTTCATTATACATACATTTCGGAAATAATGCATTATACAACACACACATATAATCAACATAACTATTATATTGGATACATACTGGACAAATACATACGGTGGTGAACAAATCTACAAGGGCCGTGACGAGGGTTCGAATCTACGTCCAAGAGGATCCCAGACGCTTCCTTAATCGACTGAGCTACGACATGGTAAAAAAAATTGCAACCGGGAAATCATCCTGACCTACCACGGGTCCTGCAGCCTCTCCGAGACACAAACCAGGGTTATACACACTTTCCATCCCATGCACCCGGGCTCTGCCAATAGGCTGTTCTACCTCTTCGCCCTTACTTCATTACACAAAGGGTTCGACCCTCGTCACGGCCCTTGTGAATTACAACTTGTTAGGTGTTAAAAACTGTTGAAGAAACGTTGTACTTTCATCGTATATATATATATATATATATATATATATATATATATATATATATATATATATATATATATATATATATATATATATATATATATATATATATAAAACGTATTTTAAGGAATTATGCTAAATCCTTAGGATGCGTTCGCAAAGAGGATTAATTAAATCCTAGACAGAGGAAGCATCAAAGGATTACTTCACTCTGGAAAGGCTAACAAGGGCAAGTAATTAAGATGTAATTAGATCTTTTTTAATTGTAAGCATTTCTTAGATATTATAAGCTTGCGTGTGTCTGTATCTCTTGCTTGTTTCCTCCCTTAACTACCTCTCTCTCTCTCTCTCTCTCTCTCTCTCTCTCTCTCTCTCTCTCTCTCTCTCTCTCTCTCTCTCTCTCTCTCTCTCTCTCTCTCTCTCTGCTAACATGGTTATCCAAGAAATAAGAGTGCCTCAGATCCTATGGTGTGTTTGTGAGTACACACACACACCCACCCACACGCAACATTTCCTACCCCCCCCCCTACCCCCAGCACACGCAAAATCCACGCGTGTGTGGGGTGTGCGTGCGCACGCCTCCTCGCTGTAACCAATACAGGTCATTTAACTCTGTGATATTTGTGGAATCATTATCTTTTATCTGTAATTAACACCTAGTACAGATGTTCATTTGACACCTAGCTGTCCCTACCACCTCACCCTCACACACCTGTCCCAAACGGGCTCACCATAGCCCGTGCTGCTTGGAACTTGTTCCGAGTAGCTGAATCTATAACAACAACAACTTACTCAAGTACACTCATCTCACGAGTACTCACAAGACTGTAAGTCTGAGCTCACCTTATGTCTGTCGAAAGCATAATTTAAAAAAAAAACACGATTAATATAAGCCTTAGGGGTTATATTCATGGCCCGTGGCACCTCTTGGGTGGCTTAATCTTCCTTAATAAGCCCGAGTTTGGGTTTGAAAGTTTCCTAAGTCAGGTTAAGGGAGACTTAGATAGGTAAGTTAGTTCTCTGGGGGGTTTAGAGCTTCTCGGGAGGAGTTTGTGGTCGTGGTTCGAAGTCTGGACTCTCTCTCAGCTCCATACATAGCAATATTACTTCTTCTATAGATGGATAAAATGCTTAAAATATTGGTTATTTACTGGTAAAAATACATTCTATATTGGTCTACTGCATTTGTTGTATAAATGTAAGCATTTCACCATCATGGAATAGTGATACATCGCTGCAGTGTTCAGAATATGTGATACATCACTGCAGTGTTCAGAATATGTGATACATCCCTGCAGTGTTCAGTGTTCAAAAGTTCACAGCCAGGACCTTGACTGAAGACTGTCGTCTGCACAACCAGCACGGACTCAAGTCACGGCGTGAGTCCCTCGGAAGCAAAGGTCACCCTGAGGAACCCTTACGGGGCACCACGAGGGACTCGAATCATGGCGTGAGTCCGTATATATATCCCTCACCAGTACAAGGTGAATAGGACACATTCACGGGAGACATCTCCCGTCACGCAGGGTGCAGTCGCACCTCCACAGATCTCCAGTATCAGCTCTTGATACTGGTAATGGCTCAAAAAGGTCACCACTTACGGGCTATTCATGCCCGTGCCACCTTTTGGGTGGCTTAATCTTCATCAATCAATCACTCACAAGGTGAATGATGGACTCGAGGTCTGGATAAAATAATAACACGCGGCATTCATCCGTACACTAAGAATATCTTAGTGAAAACATTCTTGTCCAAGCTTGAATAACACAGCAATCTTGCTGAGCATGAGTTTACAAGAAATTATTCTAATTAGTAGATCAATTTACACATCAAGAATGTTTTAAACAAGGTTACTAGATGCAACAAGTCTTCACGAAATGATGTACTCAAGGAACATGTCTCTACACGGGGGTAAGACGAGCATAGAAGGTAAAAGAGAAAACCCGACACTATTTTCCAGTGCTGACGAAGACGCTGTAGAGGCGAGTCCTCAGGCCTCTGTCTCCTCAGCCACGTCTTTCACACTGACCAGAGCGACGGGGTGATCCTGGCAGTGAGGCGCTGGGTCACCTCTGCCGTAGTCCCGCACAACCGCTTCCATCGAGCTGGTCTCCTGCAGGCCCCGAGGCTCCTCCTGAGGCGACATGAAGCCTGTGGGAAGGTAACACTCTGTTTAATGAGGAGTATTCGCATGAGTGAAGCATGGTAGGAAAGAGACACAGAGACAGACAGACGATAACTTATACACAGCAATTCAGTATTAGCTCAAGTCACAGATAACTTCAAGTCTCTCAGCTTGTGTGTGTGTTAGGAGGAGGGTCTCCTGTGTGTGTGTGTGTATGGGGTCCCTGTGTGTGTGTGTATGGGGTCCCTGTGTGTGTGTATGGGGTCCCTGTGTGTATGTATGAGGTCCCTGTGTGTGTGTATGGGGTCCCTGTGTGTGTGTATGGGGTCCCTGTGTGTATGGGGTCCCTGTGTGTATATATGGGGTCCCTGTGTGTATGTATGGGGTCCCTGTGTGTTTGTATGGGGTCCCTGTGTGTATGGGGTCCCTGTGTGTATGTATGGGGTCCCTGTGTGTATGTATGGGGTCCCTGTGAGTGTGTATGGGGTCCCTGTGAGTGTGTATGGGGTCCCTGTGTGTATGGGGAAATAAGTGACCTTCACTACTAACTTGTAAATATTATTAAATAATAAATAATAACTATCACGAGCTTCACGAACTGCTAACTATAATAAGGGATAACCTAACTGACAACTATGACAGGCAGCCCCTATAACAAGCAGCATTTGACGAGCAATATCAGCTAGCGAGTGACCATAGTGATTAGCCTTCTAGCGAGTGACCTGACCTTGGCGATTGTGTGCCCTGGCGTGCCTGACGAAGTGCCACATGGCACAGGAGAGCCCCACCACCGCTGCCATCACCAGGATCACCATCAGCACCAGGTGGGCCCACATCTGCGGCTCTGCAAGGTCACCACAGGTCACTATAGCCTGCTGTCACAGGTCAGGAGATCGTTATAGCCTCGTGTATGAAGTCTAGAGGTCATTATACAAGTGTATGAGGTCAGAGGTTATTATAACATAGTATATGGGGTCATGAGAGGTCAATATAGTGTTGTATACAATATCAGTGCATGAGGTCAAGAGGTTATTATAATACTGATCAATTTGTTGACCAGACCACACACTAGAAAGTGAAGGGACGACGATGTTTTGGTCCATCCTGGACCATTTTCAAGTCGATTGTGAAGGGAAATCGACTTGAGAATGGTCCAGGACGGACCGAAACGTCGTCGTCCCTTCACTTTCCAGTGTGTGGTCTGGTCAACATATTTCAGCCACGTTATTGTGACTCCTCGTCTGCATACTAATCAATTATAATATTAGCGATGAACTGACCATTTATCGAGGCTTTCGACTCGTAATTCCAGCACTTCTAAACGTACAAATGATACAATTAAATGAAAATCACATTAAAACACGAAAATAGCAAGGAATTTAACATGTTGAATGTTGCCACACAGAGTGGGTTAGACTGACTGACATTCAGTAAGGAAGTGATAGAATAAGAACAAAGGCAACTGCAGAAGGCCAATTGGCCCATACGAAATGCTAAAATTCGTCTAAACTCTCTCACTGACCTCGTTCGTAACCACTTCCTAATGATTATTAGGGGCCAAGTTTAGCCTCTAACTACTTCTCTCTCATCCTGGCATGGTACAAACTGGTTGGTGAGACTACAAGTGATCTTGATTACCCTTTCATCCTGCTCTCTCTCACCACCAGCATCTTGAATACTCACCTCACTAACGCAACTTTGTGTATGTTGACCAGACCACACACTAGATAGTGAAGGGACGACGACGATTCGGTCCGTCCTGGATCATTCTCACTTGTGAATGGTCCAGGACGGACCGAAACGTCGTCGTCCCTTCACTTTCTAGTGTGTGGTCTGGTCAACATACTTCAGCCACGTTATTGTGACTCATTGCCTGCAATTTTGTGTATCTTTCTTAGCCTTTACTCTAAACACTTGCTTGAGGTATAATGTGGAGGGTTAAGGGGGTATAGCCGTCTTCTTTTCGGTGTATCGTTCAGCTGATGTTGTTCCTCGCTCCGAACACTTGGTACAATATCTTTTATTTTGTGTTAAGGCCCAAGAACCTCGAGAGGGTTATTAAGACCACATCAGGAGTTTAATATCCAAGTAGTAAGTATACACTTTAGACCTGAGAATACTCCAGCACTGACGCAAGTTCTGTGTATATTCCAAGAAGCGAGGTATATACTTTTGGTGTGTGTGTGTGTGTGTGTGTGTGTGTGTGTGTGTGTGTGTGTGTGTGTGTGTGTGTGTGTGTGTTGTTAATTTGTGGAACCAATTACCGCGTAACGTGGTGGAGGTGGGGTCCCTTGATTGTTTCAAGCGTGGGTTGGACGTGTATATGAGTGGGATTGGGTGGTTATAAATAGGAGCTGCCTCGTATGGGGCCAATAGGCCTTCTGTAGTTACCTTTATTCTTATGTTCTTATCTCTCCAGGCTCCTAAGGTATACCAGCTCGGTTTAAAACATTGACCAGATGCTTGTTAATCAATCTATCCCCAGGTATGTTCGTCTAAGATCCGGTCGACCCCACAAAAGTACTTTCGCAAATTTGTTTTCGATAATATACAGTCAACAACGATAGTTTCTCAAATGATCATCGTTTTATGTGCAGTTATACAGACCTAGGACAGGTTACGTGAGGTGTTTGGGTTGCAAATCCAGTCTGTCAACAATCAAATGAATCTTACCTTTGTTAGCTTCTTCAGCAGACATCTTGAGGGCTCTGCCGACCTGCTCGGAGAGCCGAGAGTCGAACAGATTATTCGAGGAGTCGAACAGCTCGGACGGATCGACCTCGAAGACATTGTTGTCGACGGGCGCCGTCTCGTCGTCCAGATTATTGCTGTCTTCAGGGAGACTCACTCTGCGAGGAGAAGCGTCGCGTTCATTATTAAAATTAGACGACGGGGGATGTGGTGTACTACAGAGGGCGCCTCCTAATAATAAACAATAGCGGCCATGTTGTCCTACCCTACTGATAGGGGCTCCAGGAATACGCAGACTTGCATGGCCCAGACCACAGAATACTCGCTGCTCCACTAAGACCCACCACCTACTTACGATCCCCTGAGCAGACCCTGTTGAAAAAGTTTAGTGACAAGCTCTAGTTACGACCTGCCTGCAGGGCTCTGGGTACGACCTGCCTGCAGGGCTCTGGGTACGACCTGCCTGCAGGGCTCTGGGTACGACCTACCTGCAGGGCTCTGGGTACGACCTGCCTGCATGACTCTGTGTACGACCTGCCTGCAGGGCTCTGGGTACGACCTGCCTGCAGGGCTCTGGGTACGACCTGCCTGCAGGGCTCTGGGTACGACCTGCCTGCAGGGCTCTGGGTACGACCTGCCTGCAGTCGTCTATCTACGACACCACTTGTGTCTCCTCATCTACATACCTACAGAGGTATGTCGGCTGCCACTATGTCGTTCTTGTAAGCCTGCATACAGGCTGTACATACAAGCCTGCAGGGTATATATATGCAAATACGTTGGCTTTAGATGCATACATTTGTGTATACATCAGCATATTTAATAAACAAAAAAACATTAAACCATTTACAGCGAACATCTACTAGTTCTAAGGCCGCCTGCTTGGAGACAAGTGAGAAAGTCGATTTAATCTGGATTATCTGCAAACATCCGCGACAGAAAACGAATCCACGCTTATGGGTAACTGCAGAAAACATTCTTCAGTTCTTCATTTTGGGTAACGTTGTTATTCAAAACAAATCCTTCAGCCCCTCCGTCAGAGATCACCCACTGATAAGTGTCAGCAGAGGTCACCCACTGATAACAGTGTCAGCAGAGGTCACCCACTGAGAACACTGCCAGCAGAGGTCACCCACTGAGAACACTACCAGCAGAGATCACCCACTGAGGACACTGCCAGCAGAGGTCACCCACTGATAACAGTGCCAGCAGAGGTCACCCACTGATAACACTGCCAGCAGAGATCACCCACTGAGGACACTGCCAGCAGAGGTTACCCACTGAGAACTCTGCCAGCAGAGATCACCCACTGAGGACACTGCCAGCAGAGGTCACCCACTGAGGACACTGCCAGCAGAGGTCACCCACTGAGGACACTGCCAGCAGAGGTCACCCACTGAGGACACTGCCAGCAGAGGTCACCCACTGAGGACACTGCCAGCAGAGATCACCCACTGAGGACACTGCCAGCAGAGATCACCCACTGAGGACACTACCAGCAGAGGTAACCCACTGAGGACACTGCCAGCAGAGGTCACCCACTGATAACAGTGCCAGCAGAGGTCACCCACTGATAACAGTGCCAGCAGAGGTCACCCACTGATAACAGTGCCAGCAGAGGTCACCCACTGATAACAGTGCCAGCAGAGGTCACCCACTGATAACAGTGCCAGCAGAGGTCACCCACTGATAACAGTACCAGCAGAGGTCTGAGAAAACAACATAGAAATCGAAGGTTGGCAACACCGCGCGTCTGGAGCAAAACAAGAGAATAAAGAACCCAAAAATTGGCATTTTTGAGTTTTAAAGAAGAAGAATTGAATGGAGGAGAAAGCTGGGGTAGAGGAGAAAGCTGGAGTGAAAGACGGAAAGGAGGAGAAGGTTGGAGTGAATGAGAGAAGAGGAATAAAGAGAGGTGAAGCACCCCAATAAAAAGGAAGGCAGGAAGCACGAGTCCCCCATCACCACAGTGAGAATGGCAGCCGAGGAGAATCATCCAAGCATAAAGAACAAGCAAAAGAAAATGGCACAGAAATATTTTGACAATTCAGGGACACGTCGAGGAAGTCAGGAAGCGAATATCTGAGAGATGGGTGTCTGCCGTTGAAGGGGGAAGTCAAATAGAGGCACGAGAGGAAGCCAGAAAAATCAAACATGAAGAAATTTCAATGTAAAGTAAATATATTCAGATAGTAAGCATGATAAAATTGATGTATTTCCTTGTTTATAATAGTCTCTCTTGTGTCCTTAGCTTGGAAGAGCAGAGACGAAATATTGGTTAACTATTTTCAGGAGGTGCAGGTCCCTTGTGAGAGACTTGTAAGGGTGTCAGGGTCGTATCTCACTGCTCCAACGACTAGGGTCGTCTCTCACTGCCACAAGCAGTACTGTCTGATTCATAAGCTCGCTAAAGCTGCATTATGTGAGAAAATATTAAGGCTATGCAATGGGATCAAACCTGCGTGTCCTGGACTCCTCTGGCACATGCACTACCAACCGGACCATGATGAGCTAAATGTATTTCAACCGGAAGTGCTGCCTGACTTACCTGGAATACCTGTTAGTGATATATATCAATTTTTAGTGTAAAATTGTGCTTATAGTTCTACTCTTGAGAGACAAACAGTTTTAATTTTGGTTAAAAATAACAAATTATATAATATTTTTTGACTATAATGTTTAAGGCTTCACGGAGAGGCTTACACTATATACAAACGCGTCTAGAATAGATTCTAGACGCTCTTAGAGCGTAAGTTCATAAGTGACCTACAAACGTAAGTAAGTCCTCAATCTTTGACGACTTTGGTTACATTTATTAAACAGTTTACAAGCATGAAAACTTCCCAGTCAACTGTTGTTATTATTATAAACAGCCTCCTGGTGCTTCGGAGCTCATTAACTGTTTAATAATTGTAAACAAAGCCGCCAAAGATTGAGAAAAGATGTGCAGGTTCGTAAGAGGCTGGCGTAACTGCATCGTGAATCTGGCCCCAGGAGGATGGATACGAACCTGGAATTTTGGCACGACAATAGTCGAACTGGTTCTGAGGATGAGGTAGGGGCAGATAGAAGCCTAGCGAGCGGGAAAAGATATGTAAAATATTTTGAAACAAGTTTCGATATCCTATACCAAACTGACCCGGCCCTGACGGTGAAGGTCTCCGGGATGTAGCTGCACATGACCAGGAACCTCCTGGTGGAGTGGGTGAGGATGGGCAGGTTCTCCTGGACCAGTATGAAGGTCATCACCGAGGTGTTGTGGACCTGGCTTCCGCAACGGTCGTGGTCGATCTTCAACTGGTAGGTGGTGGTGGAGCTGTCTCGGACGCCCTCCGTCCTGCACAGGGGGTCCTCTGTCCCCTCCACCGAGATCTAAGTGGGTGGTGGTGGGTAGGGGTTAGTGTAGGTGGTATACGGGGTGGGGTGAGGACGTTGGTTTGCAGGGGAGGGGGATGTCAGGGGGTAATGACAATCACTTTTAAACCCCTACGATACAATGCCCAATACCTTACAATTCCCTCACAATAAGCGTGTCTTTGGTCAGCATGACATCTATCATTATCTACGTCTAACATTAACTACGTCTACCATTATCTACTCATGAAAAACATTAAATATAATAAGAACCTAGTGGTCCACTTTTAATTGCAAAATAATAGCATCTTCAAATGTTATAACAACATTTTGAATGTTGATAAATACAGGTAAATTATTTAGCATGGATAAGAAACTGATCTTCAGCATCTCAAACCCTCAAACCTTTAAGATGCTCTCAGTATTAAACTTCCGGAGTCACGACGACGTGACTCACAGCTGGGTTAAGCCCTGGCACTATATCTCACAGCAGAACACAGCTGGGTTAATGAGCTACCTACCTTGCCACCAGAGTAGTGACCTTACCTTGCCACCAAAGTAGTGACCTTACCTCGCCACCAGAATAGTGACCTTACCTTGCCACCAAAGTAGTGACCTTACCTTGCCACCAAAGTAGGGTCCGGTCTCCACCTCCACTACACTGGAGTTGGCTAGACACATAGTAGCCCGCGCCGAAACTGTCGATGAAACTTGAGGTCACTACAAACTGAATCACAACTGTGGCGCGTGGTACAGCTTCAGAGTCTGAAGCTGTACACACACACACACACAACAATCCATAGTTTATACTACTAAACATTGTAAAATGCATTCCATCAAAGAAACCAGGAAACGAAGTTAAAACAGAAACCCAGTTTAACCTACTCAAGACTAACCCAACGTATATAACGCCTACCTTCATATATTCCAAGCCTACTATAGTGCAAATATTCGCAGGAATGGCAGGTTATACTCATATTACAACTGAACAGATCTACGGGACCACGCTAGTAGTAGTGGATATGAAGACTTAGCAGTAACTGGGCTTAAAATTGTTCAGTTACTCCTAAGTCTTCATATCCACTACTCATGCTAAGTCATCAACAAGATGACTTAATCATAGTCTTAGTCATACGTGGACAGAGAAGGGAACTATCAAGGGGAAAACGCCAAGCCATTAGGACTATATAGCACTGGGATTAAGGGGGGTCAGGATAAGGATAATTATACTCACATCCCTTGGTGCGGATAGCAAGCTCCTGTCCTTCATGGTGGACGGAGGGCGGGTCGGAGGCTAGGACCGGCGTCACCTCCAGGGTGTAGTTAGTGGCCATCCTTAACCCCTTAATAACCACCTCGAACTGCTGCTGCTGCTGCTGCTTGCTGGCCGGGCTGGCCATCTGCTTGGCCTCCCGCTCCTCCAGCAGCTGCAGGATACAGAGGCCATGTAACAGTGCTCCTGCAACCTTTCTCACATATATTTATATACATATACACACACATACAAGCTTCCCGTTCCAGACAAAGGGTATTGTTATTCCGTAAATAATCTCACGATGTGGTAAACACAGTTGACAAGAATGTGTTTTCAGGCACGGGAGAGATGGAACGGAACTTGTGGGACGGAAACACTGAGGAGAAGCCGGTGTCTGGAGGGTAGGGAAGGGGCCTGCTCCCCGTTCTCTGTCAGTTACGCTGAATTTCTTGATTTGACTCCGCTTGGCGGAGTCAAATCGAAGCTGCTCTCTGTCGAGCTTCAGGCTGTAAACAAGACGGCGAGAGGGACGCCCGGGGGACGTGGCGGGAGTGGGAAGACATGGGGTCCTGGAAACTTGACTTGGGTAGGAAACGAGACGGTGCGGGGGAAATGAAGACAAACTTGTTTAGTGACACTGGAATTTAGTTATGATAGCGCCTGGTTCATGATTTAGAATGTATCAGCAAGTACAGCCATAAAGACACACACGGAGAGAGAGTGCTGGCTACTGACCTGTTTCTTACAGCGGTACTTGCCCCAGGCCTGGTCCTCGCAGTAGGTGATAGCGAAGTGCCTCAGGAGGCCAGCGTCAGCCGGGTACTTCCAGTGGAGACGCACCGACCTGAAATCCGCCTCCCCCTCCAGCGCCTCCACATCACCTGCACGAGGGTGTATAGATGTATATTATATAATATCATGAGTATACTCAGTCATCGTCATTATCTCTATGAGAGTTACATAGTTGCTGTTCCCTACCCTGTCCCGTTGACCTGCTACGCCATTAAACATGTGAGTAACTGAGTGACTTAGAACTTAGTGTGTGTTCTAAGAAAGTTGTTGGTATTTCTTAAACAATTTAAGTGGCTCTTGAAGTGTGATTGCCTTCAGACAAGAGATTCGTTTGGGAGTTTTTTCTTTAAGTGCAGTTGTGGACTTACGACCAGGTCGTAGATGACAGTGAGTACGAGGATGGGCACCTAAGATGGCCCTTAAGATGTGGCTCAGCATTTTCTACAACACAATTTAGTTTTAGAGCTGCAAATCGCGTGTCTCACAGATCACAATTGAACAAAGTGACACGCTGTTAAATCCCCGCCATATACTCGTGAAGGATTAACAAAAAAACATGACTATGCAACCCATATAAACGACCAAGTTAACCTGACTAGACAAGTTATCATTGTTAACTTGTTCAAGTTAGCCATGATAATTACTGAACAGCCCCCCTGAAAGGCAAAAATTTTGACCGCATATTAATTCCTTCGAGGGAAAAATTCTAAACGAAGTTCTAATTATGCCTATTTTGAGTGCGAGAAAGTTTCCTCATTAAACGTCAGACCTGAGTGTCACAATGGCAGGCATAAATTAAAGGCTCGTAGTGCCCAGCTTGGCGTGGCACTCCTTGTCTTGGCACTGCATTATATATATTGATTCTTGCGGGTTTTTCATCTTTTAATTAATTTTTAATCATTTTTACCTTGTGTTCTTATGGTTCCACTTCTCTTAACCTATTTGAGTTTTCTCTATTTCCTTTACATTGTTTGTTCTCTCCATTTAAGTTGGTCGGTAGAGCAAATAATTTGCCTTTCTATTTGAGAATTTCAGCACCGAGGAGAAGGGGGGGGACCTGCTGCATGGGTAACAGCTTCTCCATATCGACCTACCCTGGCTTTGCGCCCTGGAGACGCCACTCCAGACCGATAACCAGAGCACAACTCCATAGTCTCCCCAGAGTGATGGATAGCCTACTATCTACCTAGAGCGACCAACTTCTTTCAGGGTCAGCGTTCGATCCCCGATGGTCCTAGGTGTTCGAGCCTAGTGCTCATTCTGTCCTCGTTCCCCAACTAAGTTTATATATATATATATATATATATATATATATATATATATATATATATATATATATATATATATATATATATATATATATATATATATATATATATATATGCTCGTATTGTCTTGGTGTTTCCTCTTGTTTATTATCTTTCCCTTCGTTTTCCTCCGTCTTTATCTCTTCTCTCTCTTATGTCTACCCTTCTTACTTGGGCAGGACGGTCTCGCGTCGTGCAGGTCGGCGTTCAATCCCCGACCGTCCACAAGTGCTTGGGCACCATTCCTTTTCCCCCCGTCCCATCCCAAATTCTTTTCCTGACCCATTCCAAGTGCTATATAGTCGTAATGGCTTGACACTTTTCCCAGATAATTCCTTCCTTTCCCTCCTCTTTCTTTAGAGATAAATGCATCCTTATATATTAAGATATATTCTTATTCCTCTGTTTTTTGTTCTTGTTTCTGAAATGTCTAGTGATAGGAAGGGTTATAGAAGCACAAGAACATTACCTATTCCTACAAGAACATTAACAGACATGAAAGCTTGTATAAGAACACTATTCAATAAACTTGAAAGTGTATACAAGAACATTACCTATTCTTTAACAGAAATGAAAGCTAATGTAAGAACTTTACCTATTCTTTAACAGAAATGAAAGCTAATACAAGAACATTACCTATTCTCTAACAGAAATGAAAGCTAATACAAGAACATTACCTATTCTCTAACAGAAATGAACGCTAATGCAAGAACTTTACCTATTCTTTAACAGAAATGAGAGCTAATACAAGACAAGCTTACACAACTCACAACCCCAATAGAGGGAACAACGTAGTAGAGTGCACAAGCGGTGTTACAGGAGACTAATGAGTTAAGTTCAGTAATGGGGGGTCAGGCGTCCCAATGAGCCTTAATGGGAACCAATCAGTAGCCTGGATAGTGAGACATGACAGCCATCAGTAGTCTGGATAGTGAGACATGACAGCCATCAGTAGTCTGGATAGTGAGATATGACAGCCACCAGTAGCCTGGATAGTGACATATGACACCCATCAGTAGCCTGGATAGTGACACATGACACCCATCAGTAGCCTGGATAGTGACAGATAACAGCCATCAGTAGCCTGGATAGTGACAGATGACAGCCATCAGTAGCCTGGATAGTGACACATGACACCCATCAGTATTTTCAGAGACGACAATTTAGGTTACTAATGTAAGGAATATCTTAGTTACCCAGAGCCGTCGCGGCCGACGCGGGAAGGAGGAAGAGGGCGACCACTCCACACACTACTGCCATCTTCAGCACCTGTAACACGGGGTTAACACATCATTACACATGTCTATATGTAGTAAAAGTACATGTATATAGATTGAGACACTGTGACACCGGACGAGTCGTTGAGAAAACGTCGCCCCGGGCTATAGATAAAGCCGAAAAGTGTTTTTAGATCTCTGAAGTTCGCTTGTCAGGGCTACGGCCGACCTAAACCTCCCAGTTACGTTTATGTAAGCTCTATCTGCAACATTTAGGCTGCAGCCTGTCCTCATGCTAGGTTTATTAAAGCGGCGGCCGTCCCCCCTCCACAACAGACGCATTCATCAATTTTAATTTACTTTGTCATAAAAATAGGGTTGTTCTCATATATAAATTATTGTTATATATTAAATTGCTATGTATAATTTGCCCTAGGTTAGGTGTTTAGGTTCTGTTGGCGATTATTTGTATTTGTAACACGTGGGTGAAGCATTTACAGCGTTGTGGTTCGAACAGAGGTCGTCAGTGAAGCCCTGTTCGAGAAATGTTTGAACGTCATCAGATGTGAGTTCTGTTTAAACCGTTTACCGTTCATAAACGGCGGGTTTGGCGAGTGGATTAATGAGCATTTGGCCTTTGTTGTTGAGGACGGGTTGTTATATTTCCAGTACATGAAGGAAACGCTTGGTGAGGTGTAGTTCGAACACCGGAAGTAAGCGAAGCAATGTTCGAAAAAAGTTCGACCATTATGAGGACGGGCTTCTGTATTATAAAGACTGTCTGCTGTATTATGAGGGCTGACTGCTGTATTATGAGGACTGACTGTTGTATTATGAGGACTCAGAGCTGTATTATGAAGCCTGACTGTTGTATTATGAGGACTCACAGCTGTATTATGAGGACTGACTGTTGTATTATGAGGACTCACAGCTGTATTATGAGGACTGTCTGCTGTATTATGAGGACGGGCTGCTGTATTATAAGAACTGACTGCTGTATTATGAGGACTGTAGCTGTATTTAGGCTACACAAGTTCAGGCTCCATGTTCTTCACCCCCCGCCCACTCCTAGACAGCCACCTGCAGCTTCAACAACGCCCTCAACAACACAACACAAACAAGTCATTAGTCAAACTCGTGATTGGTTTCCTGCTTGTTAAACTCTGGCGTCGGAATGTCCTGTTGAACACAGTGATCTGAACGCTTGGCCAACACGACACCCCGCTCTCGCTGTTAATGTCCTGTTGAACACAGTGATCTGAACGCTTGGCCAACACGACACACCGCTCTGGCTGTTAATCTGAAGCGTGAGTTGTCGGAGTACAGCTGCCGCTGGGGGCTTCTACAGGGGGGCTTCCGCTGGTGGCTTCTACAGGGGGGCTTCCGCTGGTGGCTTCTACAGGGGGCTTCCGCTGGTGGCTTCTACAGGGGGCTTCCGCTGGTGGCTTCTGTAGAGGCTTCCGCTGGTGGCTTCCATAGGTCTTAAGCTTCAACTTTGCAATTCTCGCATTGCAGGCCTTTGTTGATATCTCCGAACTGGATGCGCTGATTGCGCATGCGCGAGTGTGGTGTCAGCTGGGCGTGGGCGGGCGTAAGCATAGTGGGCTACATTGTTTGTGTCGGGTTTATGGAAGTGTGAGGGTGATACATTATGATACGTCACACATACACATGGCAGGACACGGGACACAGAAATGAGTGCAGTAGCCTCCCTCGACGATGAGTACAAGAATACGGTGAATATACTCATACGGTGAATATAATTCACTACTCAGAGTTGTATTCAACCACCATTCATTACTTTATTGAACATAATCGGCTGGTGGCAGCGACCCGGATAATTTAAAAACTTTAATTGTTTAATGACTTTGAAATATATTCTGTAACCACTGTGTTCTAGTGGAGAACAGGTGGGGCCAACAGGTGGGGCCAACAGGTGGGGCCAACAGGCGGGCTAACAGGTGGGGCCAACAGGCGCGCCAACAGGGTGTAACGGGAAGATAATCCGCTTAGATAACTTTCAGAAATTATGAAATTAATGAGGTGGTGAGACGCTGTGACTGGTTTAATGAGAGCTGTGAGTTGGTGGTTTTCCTGTCAGTCATCCTGTGGGGAGAGGGGAGGGCAGTGAGGGGGGGAGATGGGGGGATTGTGGGGGGGAGGAGGCGGGCTTGTGGTGGGGGGGGAAGCGGAAGGGTGCGGTGGAGCAAAGGGAATTAAATGTGTGGGTGTATACGTGAAGGAATTAGAATTCTAAAAAGAAGGAATTAGAATTCTAAAAATTCTAAAAAGAAGGAATTAGAATTCTAAAAATTCTAAAAAGAAGGAATTAGAATTCTAAAAATTCTAAAAAGAAGGAATTAGAATTCTAAAAAGAAGGAATTAGAATTCTAAAAAGGAATTAGAATTCTAAAAATTATAAACAGAAGGAATTAGAATTCCAAAAATTCTAAAAAGAAGCAATTAGAATTAGTCACTCCTCACCTGAGGAGTGACTTCACGTAGGCCTAGTCCATAGGTCTAGCCCGGCAACAGTTATCCCCAATCAACAGCTCTGCAAATGACCAATTACACCCAACAGTTAAGGGGACCATTAGCGCGCGGTGTTTCCCACCATCTGCGGGAGATGAGGATGCTGAGCGGAGATGAGCGGGAGCAGAATACATAGTTACCAGCCTCCGGGGCGGCGAGGCTCCCAAACACCAAGCCTATCTAACGACCAGGGGAAAGTGAGCTGACGAAAACATGGGTTTATCGTCGACATGGCGACCGGGCCTCGGTATAGCTGTTCAATCACTGCGTAACTAATCACGTCAGAGGCGTCACCACGCCGCGTGACGATGGTGAGCCTTCACACGGATGTGATGGGGTAACTCTAGGTGGTTGTTGTTATAGATTCAGCTACTCGGAACAAATTCCAAGTAGCAGTGGCTATGGTGAGCCCGTAGTGGACTTACCTGGCACAGGAGCGGGGCAAGTAGCACCGGCTATGGTGAGCCCGTAGTGAACTTACCTGGCACAGGAGCGGGGCAAGTAGCACGGGCTATGGTGAGTCCGTAGTGGACTTACCTGGCACAGGAGCGGTGGGTGAATTCTAGGTGTTAATTGGTGAACGTGCAGCCTTACTCGTCATTAGCAAATCCGTCAAAAATGGAGTGGGAGGTTTGCCTATCCTGAAACGTAAGAAACTCGGCCTACTAAGTTAAGCTATCGGGACCAACGCTTCGTATCTCGAGGAGCGTTAATTTTGTGGTGTATTTATTTTCATTAAATCTATATCATTTTGACGCTGTGTTCGATATCGTTAAAAAGTTGGTGCAGTAAGGGAGAGCTAGAACAAGTGCTGGCAAGTTCTGCACAATCCGTTCTAAGACCAAGTCCATTCCATCATACCCCGTCTTCTAAACAAAGACCCAAAAGTGATTCCATCCACCCGCCAAACCCGCTGTTTATGAACGAAAAGCGGTTTACACACGACTCCAGCCCGTCCTCCAAACAAAGATCCAAAAGTGATTCCATGCACCCGCCAAACCCCCTGTTTATGAATGAAAAGCGGTTTACACACGACTCACAACTGCTGACGTTCGAACATATCCGGAACAAGTGTTTCACTGACGAATTTTGTTCGAATCACAACGCTATAAATGCTTCACCCACGTACTACAAATACAAATAATCGCCAACAGAACCTAAACACCTAACCTATGCCTATATATACACAATATGCTAATATATTATAATATTAATAAATATTTGAGAAAATTCCCGTTTTGAATGAACAACATGTATGAATGCGTCTGTGGGGTCGACCGGTGGATATAATGGACTTGAGTCGAGGACGGGTTGCTGGTGGAGTGGTTGTGTGTGTTCGGCTTCTCACACCGTGTTTGTTTATTCATGTTTTATTCACCACTTAGAATAAACTTCCACTAATATGACTGCTGCCACTGAACGACCACCACCACTAGAACGACCACCACCACCACCAGAACGACCACCACCACCAGAACGACCACCACCACCAGAACGACCACCACCACTAGAACGACCACCACCACCACCAGAACGACCACCACCACCAGAACGACCACCACCACCAGAACGACCACCACCACTAGAACGACCACCACCACCACCAGAACGACCACCACCACCAGAACGACCACCACCACTAGAACGACCACCACCACCACCAGAACGACCACCACCACCAGAACGACCACCACCACCACCAGAACGACCACCACCAGAAATACAACCATCTCAAACAGTCACTACCACTACGGCCGTAGAAAAAGGAAAAAACCGTGGAAACCCCCCCCCCCCCCCAACGGCCGCCACAGAAACACTAAACAGAAGCGTCCTACTTCTCGTCTGGCCAAGGTAGCGACGGTGCTGTCGGCGCCGTGGCGCAGTGGGCTACGTGTCTGTGTGTGTGTCAGTAGGTCAGTCGAGTTAAGGCCAGCGAATGGATGGGCGACCGCACATGTTCAGTATCTACCCTCTCAGTTCTCGGTAGGATTTTGGGATCATGCTACCCATTTTTTTTTTTCGCTACCCAGTTTACCTGATGGCCACTATCACACTAGTGGCCTCGACGAGGGCAGGAAGCCAGCGGCTTGTCAAAGGTCTCCTCATGTAGTTTCTCTACTTTCGTCTGGTAACGCATCTATGGATCTTCAACGGGATATAGACCTTACACAAGACGCTGCCCATTCCCAAATTGGTCAGGGAGGGAGGGAGGGGGTTGATCGGGTGATTTAGGGGGTTAATGGGGGAGGAGGAAGCAATGCAGGTGGGTGCTGAGACGACTAAATTGGGGGTGGTGGTAGAGGGGGTGTAGAGGAAAGTGAGGCAGTGAGTTGAAGCGAGACAGGTGGGTGAGAGAGTTCAGTGGGTCGACTAGCGGTCACCTCTACAGTGGTGGTGGGGGGGATGCTGCCTCTTGGGGAGATGAGACATCCTCCCCATCTCGCCCTAGCATCTAACACATCTCATTTTCTGCGATTTCTCATTTTCTCATTAATCGACCAATTCCGTTACGAAGGTAAACGTAAAGCAAAATCACTTCACTCTCTTGTAATATCGGTCAGTTACTTGGATATCGTAGCCTTCAGGTAAGTTGGCCAGAGATCGGGTCAACCCCAGCCCAGGATGAGGTGAAGGTGAACCTTTATACGAATTATCTACTTGTTATACACCTGTGTACATGGTAGCACAGGTGTGTTAATGGTAGCACAGGTGTGCTAATGGTAGCACAGGTGTGCACAGGTAGCACAGGTGTGCACAGGTAGCACAGGTGTGCTAATGAGCCGGTTGGGACATGGTTGTGCTCGAGAAGGAATTCATTAACAATAACATGGAAATAATGTGAACCCTAATTTGAAACAACATCGTCAGAATCGGTCTGTTCGTTCACTATTCAACTTCGTAATAAAAATGACTGATAGTACATTAATGTTTTTTGTCCGTTGGAGATTGTGATGTCAAAATGTGATATATTATTCGGAAGGAAGGGTTGCCAAGAAGATAACGACACCTGACAGTCAAAACCCCTTGGCACAATTACCTCCTTCCCTCCCTGAGAGAGAGAGAGAGGGGGGGGAGAGAGAGAGAGAGAGGGAGGGAGGGAGGGAGGGAGAGAAAGAGGGAGAGAGAGAAAGAGGGAGAGAGAGAAAGAGGGAGAGAGAGAAAGAGGGAGAGAGAGAAAGAGGGAGAGAGAGAGAGAGAGAGAGAGAGAGAGAGAGAGAGAGAGAGAGAGAGAGAGAGAGAGAGAGAGAGAGAGAGAGAGAGAGAGAGAGAGAGAGAAGAGAGAGAGAGAGAGAAAGAGAGAGAGAGAGAGAGAGAGAGAGAGAGAGAAAGAAAGAGAGAGAGAAAGAGAGAAAGAAAGAGAGAGAGAGAGAGAGACAGAGAGAGAGAGAGAGAGACAGAAAGAGAGAGAGAGTGAGAGAAGGGGGGGGGAGGGAGGGCAGTTTTGGGTGGCTGAAGGGATAAACTACAACAAATTATTGGTCATCTGGGTTGTTGTAGTTATAGATTCAGCTACTCGGAACAAGTTCCAAGTAGCACGGGCTATGGTGATCCCGTAAAGGCCTTACGACTATATGGCACTTGGAGAGAACTTACCGTAGTGTGGTGGATCAAGGAGCTATCATCGCCCGCCATCACCTGCAATACAAGAATAAAACATTAATGAACACATCCACAAGGGCCGTGACGAGGATTCGAACCTACGTCCGAGATCATCCCAGACGCTGCCTTAATCGACTGAGCTACGACATGGTCAAAAGAGTTGAAACCAGAAGTTGTTCCTAATTTGTTCATTTGACGTATCATGCTATTGTGATTTCTGTGTGTAAAACATGACAATACATGTCATTCAGGCGTGGCAATAGACTGTTATGTTGACCAGACCACACACTAGAAGGTGAAGGGACGACGACGTTTCGGTCCGTCCTGGACATTCTGAATTCCATTCACAATCGACTTGAGAATGGTCCAGGACGGACCGAAACGTCGTCGTCCCTTCACCTTCTAGTGTGTGGTGTGGTCAACATACTTTAGCCACGTTATTGTGACTCCTCGCCTGCAGACTCTGTTATAACCCGTCGTTACAACACAATGACGTATTGCTCTGGATTGCAGGGAAGTGCAACAATACCGGTTGCTGATGACAGCCTCGAAAATATCCAGCATATTATACATTTGACTCTGTCCTCCATGGATTCTCAGTGGGTGGAGGACTGCCACAACTCGGCCCCTGGTATCTATAACTCGGCCCCTGGTATCTATAACTCGGCCCCCGGTATCTATAACTCGGTCCCCGGTATCCACAACTCGGCCTCCGGTATCTATAATTCGGCCCCCGGTATCTATAACTCGGCCCCTGGTATCTATAACTCGGCCCCTGGTATCTATAACTCGGCCCCCGGTATCCACAACTCGGCCCCTGGTATCTATAATTTGGCCTCCGGTATCCACAACTCGGCCCCCGGTATCTATAACTCGGCCCGCGGTATCTATAACTCGGTCCCCGGTATCTATAACTCGACCCCCGGTATCTATAACTCGGCCCCCGGTATCCACGACGCCTCCACCAAGCAAGTTTGCCCTCCAGAGGAGACACAGGTGACTACCAACGAACATTCCAAATGTTAAACTTCAAGTTAAGTGAAAACTTGATGATTAATGATGCCGCTGGAAAAGAAAGTTCAGAGGAAATGTAAAGAAACGAAACGAGAGAGAGAGAGAGAGAAGAAAGTTAGGATAAAGTGGAAGGAAAGAGAGGAGGAAGTTTTCATTTTAACGTCTCAGAAAACTTTGTCAGCTTTGGTGCATGCTCCGGAGGACGAGTTGTGACCCAGCAAGATCTGTCATCAAGATAGCTGCTATCTACATGCTGAAAGTTGGCGCTGGAAGATATCCTGAACCATTAAGACCATTTTTCCCTTGGCACCTTCGACGTTATTGGCTCAAACATATCTATGAACTCTGGTTGTTGACATTAGCTGAAGGTGAATTTAAAATCATAAGTGAAGAGGATTTCAGGAGTTCTTCTACTCCCAGACTTGTGATGAATTGGTCCAACAGGCTGTTGCTTGGAGCGGCCTGTAGGAACGCATATAAATTTCATATTCATTCTCTCTCTCTCTCTCTCTCTCTCTCTCTCTCTCTCTCTCTCTCTCTCTCTCTCTCTCTCTCTCTCTCTCTCTCTCTCTCTCTCTCTCTCTCTCTCTCTCTCTCTGTCTCTCTGTCTCTCTGCCTCTATCTCTATCTCTATCTCTCTCTCTGTCTCTCTCTCTCTGTCTCTCTCTCTCTCTGTCTCTCTCTCTCTCTCTGTCTTGAGTTGAAATTCTTGTTTAGGTTCTGTATATCTTGCCGTATGACGATGGTAATTCGTACCACGCTTGTTGGACAAAGCGGCAGGTAACGTAACGACCAATCCAAGAGATTTGCTTCTAAACCCGCTGTTGTTAACCCCATGTTCGTATCCTAGGGCCAGATTCACGAAGCAGTTACGCAAGCACTAACGAACCTGTACATCTTTTCTCAATCTTTGCCGGCTTTGTTTACAATTATTAAACAGTTAATGAGCTCCGAGGCACCAGGAGGCTGTTTATAACAATAACAACAATTAATTGGGGAGTTTTAGTGCTTGTAAACTGTATAATAAATATAACCAAAGCCGTCAGAAATTGAGGAAAGATGTACACGTTCGTAAGTACTCGCGTAACTATTTCGTGAATCTGGCCCCTAGTAACTACAGCCAATACACCTTTTTTTTTTGAGATATATACAAGAGTTGTTACATTCTTGTACAGCCACTAGTACGCGTAGCGTTTCGGGCAGGTCCCTGGAATACGATCCCCTGCCGCGAAGAATCGTTTTTTCATCCAAGTACACATTTTACTGTTGCGTTAAACAGAGGCTACAGTTAAGGATTTGCGCCCAGTAAATCCTCCCCGGCCAGGATACGAACCCACCAACCCACCTAATTTGTTTAGTATTTTTAACTTCACATTGTGATCATCTTGACATGGGAGTGTGTCTGTACGGCGCTAACTGGGCGTGTGTCCATGACCTTCATGCACGGGGGGAGGATATTAGATGCTAAGCACACAGTGGCCGACTCCTAAGTAATTATTTACGCTCAGGTCGTTTGGTGTGGGAGTGTGGCGCCCGGAGCCTCGACTCCCAGCGGCGGCCTTCAAGGTTGCAAATCTACGTCAATTAATGAAGATCTTGGTTCGCTAGAGAGAGAGAGAGTCCAACAGCCTGGTTGATCAGTCCGGCAACCAGGAGGCCTCATGTATGTGACACATGTATGTGACACATGCATGTGACACATGTATGTGACGATTCACATTTCGTATTATTGAAAATTAAAGTCTTAAACATTTACAGTAAAAAAAACTAACTTGTCTTAGACCTAATTAATTGCTCCCTTAGGCCTAAGCTGTTATCTTGATTCATATAAGTACTTTATTAGGCATAGGACAGGTTAGGTTGGCCTCGTTTTTTGAGTTTTTGTTTTTGTTTTTATTTTTGGGTTAATTCAGTTGTTAATGTGGAGTGGTTATCTTGAGGTTATCTTGAGATGATTTCGGGGCTTTAGTGTCCCCGCGGCCCGGTCCTCGACCAGGCCTCCACCCCCCAGGAAGCAGCCCGTGACAGCTGACTAACTCCCAGGTACCTATTTACTGCTAGGTAACAGGGGCGTTCAGGGTGAAAGAAACTTTGGCCATTTGTTTCTGCCTCGTGCGGGAATCGAACCCGCGCCACAGAATTACGAGTCCTGTGCGCTATCCACCAGGCTACGAGGCCCCATATATTACGAGTGTAATATATGATTGGTACACACGGCTTCCTGTCCCAGCTGGACCTACTGTGGGTCCACCTCCGTGAAGAGGTGTTCTAGTCGACAACCTTCAAGGTGAAGATGATGAGGAGGATCAACCCAGGAAGGTGTGGCGGGGTGACCTTCGTAGATGGTGACATCATTGTCTGGACCTTCCACTCCTTCCTCACACCTTACACCTACACCCTGGACATCCTCAAGTGTGTCTGAGACGAGAGAGAGTGGGGGAAACATCTTCAAGTGTGTCTGAGACGAGAGAGAGTGGGGGGACATCCTCAAGTGTGTCTGAGACGAGAGAGAGTGGGGGGACATCCTCAAGTGTGTCTGAGACGAGAGAGAGAGGGAGGGACATCCTCAAGTGTGTCTGAGACGAGAGAGAGAGGGGGGACATCCTCAAGTGTGTCTGAGACGAGATAGAAAGGGGAGGACATCCTTAAGTGTGTCTGAGACGAGAGAGAGGGGGGGGGCATCTTCAAGTGTGTCTGAGACAAATAAATTGCTTTCGTGTAGCTAGAACGAGGAAAATAAAACTCGTTTGAGTCTGGAAGTTCACTGCTGAAATATATATGATTTCCTTGAAGCTGGGGAATATGATGAAAGGTTAGGGAGGGTTTCCTTGCCTTGAGATCATAGAGTGGCGATAACCATAACGGCGAGGACGCTCCTGTGGCTCTCCGGGGAAGACATTTATAAAGCGAAGCCACTTATACACGGAGCTCTGGGCGCCCGTTAAGGCAAGATGTCGCTGGCACGAGAGTTCTGTTGGAGTCCTTCGGCATGACGTCAATGTTATTGTCCCTGGCGAATGTTGGTTTGTCGTGAGCTTTCCAGGACGAGCACCTCTTCTCCTGCAGCTGCCCAGGACGAGCACCTCTTCTCCTGCAGCCTTATTATACCCCCCCCCCTGTCCGTCCGTCCGTCCGTCCGTCTGTCTATCTTGTTTGCTAGCAGCGTCACAAGTCTGCAACATCCGTCACCCTCCTTCCTTCTCTTTCCAAACTCGTGAAACCAATTATATTTGACGTGAAAGGGTTCAGACACGCAGAAGTGCAGTGTGATCCCCACACTGATGATAATATTGTTGTCTTTGTGTTGTGATCGGGAAAAAGGTCCACTCTAAAGTTCATTTGTTATTCCGTGCATGTGAGAGTTAATATCATGGCCTTCTATGGCCTGGAAGGTTTCCATGTTGCCATGGTGGGAGGTTTCAATTGCAATTTGAGGCTTTTTGTGGTCATTTAAAGCTATTTTAAACTCCCTGGTCCCCATTGTATTCTGTGAAACTGTTGCTGTGTTGAATGTATTAGTCATTTTTGTATACGTATAATATAAATGTCAAATTTCCTTTTGCTAATTGACAAATATTCCTCTCTCTCTTAGACTGAAATTGAAATTGAAATAAGTTTTTTGAGGTAAAATACACACAAAGGGATGAGGTAGCTCAAGCTATTCTCACCCCGTTCAGTACATCGTGTTAATACATACATATACACACATCACAAACAATAAACATATTACTCTCTTAGACTCGTCCGCCCCAGTTAACAGAGTCCTCTAAGTTGGGTCTAACTATCTGTAGATTGCTTCCAACTTGATTCCAGAAAGTCTGATCATTAGGTAACTGGGCCTTTGATTCCTGGAAATTTAATAATAAATAGACCATTCCAGTCAGCTGGAATAGACCATGAGGTCTATTCCAGCTGACTGCCAGATTGTTTGGCAGCCATTTCATCTGTAACAAAGAGCAGAGTGGTTGGTCATGCTGAATTGGTAGTTCTGGCGAGCGAACCACAGTCCAATTAGAAGGATT